GTCATTCGGCCAAGCGTTAAGTTCCTTGTTCGAGCGTTACTCATGAATGGCCGATTTCAGGACGTTAGCGAAACGCTGATTCGCTTTGTCGGAAGCCATTGTTCTTGTGCGGGCTTGAAATTAAATCAATTAATTAAGCGACCGGTCGTTGACCCAAATTCGGTCCGGTCCTCCGTGAGAAAGGATTAATAGGACGATTTTCCTAAGTACAAACCGTTATTCCTGCTCGAACTTTTCCAGTGACAAGAAGAACGAAAGTTTGTCACCTATTGGAATGTCGGTCTTTCTTCACTTTCACCATTTGTCATTTTGGTGTCCTCGTTTGCATGAAGTTGACAGTGCGGTGCTCTCCGTTTTTACGCCATCGGCCAGGAGTGCCTTATTTTTCTCATTGGCAGAGTCAACAGCCACGCGGCAAGCGTAGCGTGTAGTCTCCCGTTTCCTAGCTGCATCGCGGTACTCATTTATCGACCTTCGAAGGAAGTACGGAGAGTGATTCCGGCCGGAGCTTGAACTTGGGACCTCTTGGTTCTGAGTTCGACGTTCTAGCGATTGAGCAACCTCAGTTTGAAGTAATGTGTGGTTAATTCCTTGCCCAAGGGAATTCGCAAATGAGACAAACATTGCCCTCGGGCACATTCGAACCCGTCCCCTCCGGAATTCAAAGAAGACCTCTTAGGCAACTACTACTTAGGTTCCGACTCAGCACTAGCAAGTGATGGCAGGCGGTCAAACGGCTAAATCTAAAGGAATTGCCTTGTCAGTTGCCTTTTGATTGTGGCTTTTTGCTAACGCCCACCTACCGTAGTGACGGTACAGCTTGACCCGTATTGACTGTCTTCCACTGAAGCGAAGAGGAACAAGCATTTTATCTGTCATTACGCTGAGCTTTTTTAATGGTCTTTGCTACCGGCGACCTGTACCGTGTCACAATGTACTGGTCATTGTTTCTCAGCCACATGTGTTGGCCTATGTTTGGTTCATCGGTGTGAATTTGCATGTATTTCGGTCCCTCCAAATGCAGTTCCCCCAGCATATCTTTGGCTCAACGGTTCCTCTCATCAGTTATAACTTTTTCCTCATGGTAATTTGACAGTTTTTTAACTGAAACGTTTTTGATCTGTGGATTTCATCCAGTTCTGATGATGTGAACTGCTTGAGATAGATCAGAATGCGTTGCTTCTATTTAAACCCGAAGGATTCAAAAACATCACCTTCCGTTTCGAAAGTTCTGGCATGTTGACTTAGTGGCATCACCGCAATTTTTTCTCATGTTTCTCGATGCTCGCTTGATTCGATCAGTCAAATAATATTAAAATAGCCGGAGTAGCACATAGAACTAGCATGGAGTACCATTTCAGTGTTCGCATGACCCACTGATATTACAGCATAGGTATACCATTAAACAATCGGAAACAAAAGTACGCAAGG